GGTTTATTACTTAACTCAGTTACCCTCACGCTACTAAAACATCAATGCAACTGTTCATTTGTTCTTCTTTAAACCAGGTTACCTCAGAAACGCAAACGTTTCTGATCCTCAACATCAGCAAGCCTGCGAAGTTGACCGTATCCGTCATGCTTATATAACATTTGTGTGGATATGCATTCCATAGATGAGATCCTCATTTGTGCACATGCCCTCATCAGCCAGGCTGCTTCAGTTGTCACCGCACAGTTTGTTCCCTAAGGTTGGCCGCCATCTGCCACTGCTGCGCATGACTAGCTGGTGACCTATAGCCAATGATAAGAATAGCCATGGTGTAGTGTGCAGCTGCAAGATGAAGCCTAACGTCAACTGACATCCGGCTCTCGCGCACAGTATTGTTATTTGTCCGTGATGAAGCTGCGGTCCCACTGCAAGCATCTTATGTCTCATTTTAGAGCTCCAGGAAATTTTAGACAACTGGCGAATGTGCTCATGACCTTAGATGGGGCTTGGATTCTACAAATCGATTTTTATTATAAAGAGAAGTGCAAACCTACACCACCTACTCCTTTTTTTTACATCACAAATCAAAGCTTCTGTTACGTTTAGTTTCAGCTTAATCATTTAAAATGAAAAACTGTCATACAGATTGTAAAAGTTCCTCACCTACATTTGATTTGCAAGTGTATTAATGAAAGTCTGATTAAATTAAAGTTTGGAGCAAAATAATCTCTTTGTTTAGACTTTTGCAGCCGGATCCCACAAGGAAACGGATCTATTTTGCGTTTTATCAATTCAGTGTCTAGTTTGTACGAATTCAGTCTTGAGAAAATGTACAATTTTAAAAAGGAAGTTGTGGCACCAAACCCCACTTTTAAACCCAACCGTCATTGGGGAATGAGCAAATCATACTATATTGTACGAATGAGATCATATGAATTCATACAAATTAGCCACTAAATCAAAAAGTTTTGAATTGCCGTGAGATTTTCTTTGTTTTTGATCCCATTTTTGACAATTCTTTTACATATTTTATGTAAAAACACTAAAATTTGTTATGGAACTTTACTGCATTACTGCAGATTTTCTGTCAGACCGCCATCCTACAATAATAGACACTTTGTAGAAGTTATTTCGTTTTTTTTTTTAAAGATCTTAAAAATATACAGTTGAAGTCAGAATTATTAGCCCCCCTAAATCATTAGCTCGCTGTTTTTTTCCCCCTAATTTCCGTTAAACTAGATAATTTTTTTACCACGTTTTGTATCATAATAGTTTTAATAACTCATCTCTAATAACTGATTTATTTTATCTTTGCCATGATGACAGTTAATATTTGACTAGATATTTTTTAAGACACTTCTATACAGCTTAAATTGACATTTAAAGGCTGAACTAGGTTAATTAGGGTAACTAGGCAGGTTAGGGTAATTAGGCAAGTTATTGTATAACGATGGTTTGTTCTGTAGACTATCGAAAACATGCGAAGGGGCCAAGAATATTGTCCTTAAAATGATGATTTAAAAATTTAAAAACTGCTTTTATTCTAGCCGAAATAAAACAAATAAGACTTTCTCCAGAAGAAAAAAATATTATCAGACATACTGTGAAAATTTCCTTGCTCTGTTAAACATCATTTGGGAAATATTTAAAAAAGAGAAAAAATGAAAGGGGGGCTAATAATTCTGACTCCATCTGTATATTATTTATCAACCTTAGATGATTTAGCTAACACAAAAATGACATTTCAGTCATTGACGCATACTTTGAGAGCCTTCGTGACTGAATGAATGAAATGCACAGTTTTTCACCAAGGCAAACCGGAGTGCTGAAATATCATTGGCTAAACTGGCATTGGGTGGGTTGAAAGATCCAAAACAAAGACGTTCTGGCACATCATGCACATTTTTAAAACTTCAGCATTGTTTTTCAGATAAACGAGAATATTCACTTGGCAAGTTTTTTAAACATCTGCAAACACATTATGGTAACTTTATGCTTTAGAAGAGTCATAAACTTACATACAGCACCTTTGATTAAGATATTATATGTATGATGAAAAATCTCAATATCAAAATGCAATAAATTGTGTACATTTTTTATGTATTGCCAGCCTGGTCTACCGAGGAAACAACTATTTTACTTTTTGTCAGTTTAGTGGCTAATTCGTACGAAAATGTAAGTTTTTTTTTTTTTTTTTTTTTAAAGAGACGTGGCACCAAACCCAGTGTTTCCCCCTACCATTATATTGAAGTCACGTTAATTGTATTATCTATATAGCGCCAGATCACAACTTTTTTAAATAAACAAGCTAAATAGCCATATGTAATATCTTATTCACACAACAGCATGCCATTTCTGTTCTGCACTGGCGTCACTGCAGCTAAAATATATACAGATGCAGACATCCCAACTCCTGCAAAAGAATAGAGACTCCCGGATGTCCGCAAACGAAATGATAATCTACCGAAAATCGTGCGTCTCCCGCTTGGTCCTCAAATACGTCCCGCAACCCTCCCGGTTCTTCAGATACGTCCTGCACATCCCATGCTGTGATGCAAGCGGAGCTATCTCCTCTATCTTGTGTCTAGTTATGACCTCTCCCGGAAGCTCTGCGTGTCTTCCGCAAATTCATTCCGGCTACGTGATCCCCCAAAACCAATTTAAATACCTGGAAATCATGGCAACGAGAGTTAATGTGCACAAGTAAAGGTCACGAGAGGCACAGTGATGGTCTAAACATTACATTTGATAGGTTAAATTAATAGAGCAGTAAAGATATCGAGCAAATCATGACCCCTGATAAATAAGGCACTAAGCTGAAGTAAAATGAATGGATGAATTATTTTCTGTAAAGCTGCTTCTGGCCATGACATGTTCACATCTACATTTTTATAAGAGACATGTTTAATAAATGTCTCAATAAATGGGCCAGACATTTCTGACTTTCCATACCAAAAGGCCCAGGAAATGTTCTTACAGAAGCCCATAAAGATACTATGCAGTGACAAAAGCTGCACAGTTTGTGAACAAAAAAGATTTAAAATAAATGTTAATTTATAATTTACAAATAGTTGCTCAGTTATTTACTGCTGTCATTAAAAGACCATGGCTGTTTCTCAACATGCGTTCTTCAGAGGTCTTGCGTTCTCGTGAAACGTCATCATCAGCTGCCTAAGTTCAGTTCCAATACTCAAGACCAAAAGTACGGAGGACGCATGAAAGGTCCCGGATGTGATATTGATATCGAGGACGCACCGATGCACCAATCTCACTCTGGAAGTCCCAGAAGTCATTGCGACTGGAGGTGGGAAGCGCAGCATTTTATTTAGATTTATTATTAAAGTTCAGAGATAGAATTTATTTTCCTCAAGAGTTTCCCTAAATGAAACGGTGAAAGTAAACATTAACAGGAACATCTTAATAAAGTAATAAACACATTTGTTTGCTAAAATTCGTATTAAAATCAAAATTATTTATATTGTGCAGAGTATATTATAATGTTTTTTATGCAGAGTATATATTTTGAAAAGGGGAAAAACAAAGAATCATTGTATGAATGCTGCACTGATTGATAATAAAGCTAGTTTGGCGTGCTGTCCCGGGAGAGAGCCCTGAGCTTATAAGATCCTCGAGCCCTGGGCTCCCTCCCGTTGCAAGGCGAGAGGGGTGGTTGAGCTCAGGTAGATCTCGATGACTCCCTTCTTGCTTGTTGTAGCTAAGTGTCAGATTTGGATGCTGAAAGGTGTACTCAGAGTTTAGCTAAAGTATTTGGATTATTTGATTAGAGTTTGATAGGAAACCGGAGGACCTGGGGAAAACCCACGCGACCACGGGGAGAACGAGCAAACTCCGCACAGAAATGCCGTCTGGTTTGGAAGGGAATTAAACCAGGGGCATTCTTGCTGTGAGGCAACAGCGCTAATCGCTGGCCACCTTGACACCCGTTCGAAAGGAGGGAAAGTAGGGTTGGGTGGGGGGGTTTCTTCAAGACGAAGATATTGAGATGAGAAAAGTCTGGTTATTTATAGTGAGTTAAGGATCCTCTGATAGGATAATCAGTCATTAGCTACAGTAGGAACAGCTGTGAGCAATCATAAGCACGTGATCCTCTCGAAATTTGTTTATAAATAAACTTCACTTAAAACACGTGAAGGTCATGTGACCATCAGGAAGAACGCAGCATCTCAATTCTCACAGGGCGAGTTCTCTGCCGTCGTGGCCTCCTGAGTTCGCTTTTCCGAGGACACCTGGCAAGACCGGTCTCCACAAGTACGCAAGTCCATTCTCTGTGTTCTTGGAATTGAGAAACAGCCCATGACTCCTTGTGTCAGTGTGAGTCTGAACAGCCACGCTGCGTTGGGCCGCATCGCGCCCCAAACCCAATCCACAACCCTCCCAAAAAACTGTAAACCTAGGGGAAACACTGAAACCCCACTCTCAAACCAATGAGATAATTCAAATTCATTTGAATCAGCCACTAAATCAAAAAGTTACGAATTGCAGTGAAATTGTGTTGATATTGTTCTATTTGATCTATCATTTTAATTCAAACAACATGATAGTATTTTGCTTTGAATGGTTATAGGATCTAAAAGTGAAGTTTCATAGAGATGTTTCCCTGTACCAGTAGCAATTAGGCTTCACTACATTCCAGTCAAACTGGCAGCGCTGTGAAAACAATGTGATGACATGTTTCCAGTCAGGCTCTCCTGTGGTTTAATTTGCACCGTTCGCCCGTGTAGTTGTGAGTTATAGCAAAGCACTTGTCGGGATACACACACATCTATAAACATTCACTGGAGAAATGACAGAGGTTCCATGCTAAGATTGGGAAGCAGAGTCCGTGTGTGTTTGTGTGGACATTTTCTGATAATGGTCTTAACTCTTCAGTGGGTTTTTCATGATATGTGTATGACCTTCAAAACTGAAGCATTTCCTGGCGGCACGCAACAGTATTCAGCAGTGCGTGTGTGTAAAATGTGTCTTTTATCTTCTTGCAGTTGGAGGGTGAAGAGGAACAGAAGCGGTTTGAAGAAGGGAAAGCGCGCTACCTGCAGAACAAGGCAAAGAGACTCGCAGATAAGGAGCGTCAACAATGACTTTTACCTCACAAACACCACACTGTGTTGTAGAAGAAAATTCTAGAATAATAGAGCCGCAACGTTCAACATACTGTATTAAGAACCTCTGTTTTCACACAAATGTAGCTCACTGAATAGGAAATATATAAAATCGAAATCAGAATTATTAGCCCCCCTTTGAATTTTTTATTCTTTTTTTTAAATATTTCCCAAATGATGTTTAACAGAGCAAGGATATTTTAACAGTATGTCTGATAAAATTTTTTCTTCTGGATAAAGTCTTATTTGTTTTATTTCGACTAGAATAAAAGCATATTTTATTTTTTTTAAACCATTTTAAGGTCAAAATTATTAGCCCCTTTAAGCTTTTTTTTTTTCAATAGTCTACAGAACAAACCATCATTATACAATAACTTGCCTAATTACCCTAACCTGCCTATTTAACCTAATTAACCTAGTTGAGCCTTTACATGTCACTTTAAGCTGTGTTGAAGTGTCTTGAAAAACATCTAGTCAAGTATTATTTACTATAATCATGACAAAGATAAAATAAATCAATAATTAGAAATGAGTTATTAAAACCATTATGGGTAACACTTTATAATAACTACACACTATAAATCATTTATTAAGCATTAGCAAATAGTGAATTCATTATCTGTTGAGCATTAACTCTACATTAATAAACGTTAGTAAGCAGTTTATAACTGCAGCTACAAATGCTCTATTCTTGACTTATAAGCACCTATATAATGTAGTTAATGGTTGATTTTCATACTTAGTTAATGATTTATTTTTCATTACTAAATTAGGCTCAGAAAAAGGCTCAAAAAAAGGCTTAAAAGGCTCAGAATCAAATGAACTATAATCTTTGCAATCTTTTCTAAAATGTAAAATTACTGTAAAGTTTAAACATTGCTGAATGACAGGAGTGTCAAAATACAACAAAACTGGATAAAATAACAACAATATAATAATTAAATAATGTAATAAAATGTCATGTTTAAACTCTACAGTGATTTTATTTTAGATCAGGTTGCAAAGATTTATTTTTTATTTGAAGTACAGTTTCATTTGTGTATCTTTAAATGAATAGGAATGAATAATGTCATTTGTCCTGTTTAGAATTTAACTGAGCCTTTATTTGTCATTTAATAAGGAATTTGTAAAGCATGAGTAGTCCTCACTTTAGATTAGGTCACAAAACTTGGTGAAGTTGAGTTAATAAAGCATTTATTAACATACATAGTAACCATTAATATATGCCTGAATAATAAGACATATATTTGTTGATTTCAATAGTTTATTAATCATTTACTAACTCATTCTGAAAGATCCTAAAAACCCCCAACTACTCTTAAATACAACTGGTTTGTAAATAATGCGATACTTAATTTAGTAATGAAAAATTAATCATTTACTAAGTATGAAAGTACAATTATTAAGCACATTTTAAATGTGGTTATAAGTCAAGAATAGAGCATTTGTAGCTGCAGTTATAAACTGCTTACTAACGTTTATTAATGTAGAGTTAATGCTTAACAGATAATGAGTTCACTATTTGCTAATGCTTAATAAATGATTTATAGTGTGTAGTTATTATAAAGTGTTACCCTATTATGTTTAGAAATGTATTTAGAAAAAACTTAAAAAGGAATTGAGGAAAAAAATAACCAAGGGGGCTAATAATTCAAGGGGGCTAATAATTCTGACTTCAACTGTATGTATAGAAGGAGATATAGATTTTACTGACTATTATATGAATTCACCAAAGCACTTTGTGTGTATGTGTGTGTATCGCAAGTGAAACAAGCAAACAAAAAAGAAATATATTTATGTTTTATTGTAACAGGTGATTTGTGAAATTTGCAGATCTACACTAATAAAAGCTTGCTAATGCAGCTATAATTGATGTCTGTTCAGTGTGCAGTACCATCTAGATTGACACTAGCCATATTTCCATTTAAAGATGCGAATTAAATATATGCGCAAAACTGAAGTATTGCATAAAACATTTGCGAATAAAGCACCGTTTCCATCCAACGAGTCCAAGAGAATGAAATCATTAATTGATAAACTGGCGCCAAATATCAAAAGACAAATGGAAGTTGCTGCATTAGGAGAAGGCCTTTTTTTCGTATATAATAACTTACTTGCGTCATAGAACACGTAGAGGTGTCGTATCATAGTCATATCCATTTAGAATCATCTCCACTCACACTTTCTTGAGGATTTGCGTGTTTTGCTGATGTTTTCCATCAAGGATGGTCGTCACTTCTTTCTCGTATATAACATTTAAAAATGTTCAGACCTCATCGTCCACCCAAACATACCAATCACTTTCCGCCATTTTTGAGCTGTTAAAGCAAAATCACACGACTTTTTTGATGCGCAAGCTGGAATTTATTCGGTAAATGCATTTCCGTCCTAGTATATGCACATTTTTCTTATAAGATAAAAAGTTCATCCTACCCACTTGTGTGCATAATTTTTTTATGCACATTTTTTACTTTTATGCGCATCTTGGCATTTCTGTCCAGGTTTTTTTTAATGCGATATTCCAAAATGCACATAAAAATAGGTGAATGGAAATGCAGCTAGTGTTTTATGACCTAATTGCTTTTAGGTTTGACAGAAATTTTGACAAGGAAAGCTTAGGCAACTGACTTGTTGCCTTGCTGCCCTATCAGGCAGTGACTCTAGGGGCAATGTTTGTGCACAAAGGCAATTCATAAAACTGATTTCAGATAGACTTCAAAGACAGCATAAAGATTTAGGCGCCATCTACACCAAGGGTTTCCAAACTTGGTCCTGGAAGGCTGGTGTCCTGCAGATTTTAGCCTCAACTTGCCTCAACACACCTGCAAGGATGTTTCTAGAAAGCCTAGTAAAGCTGCAGTCACACTGGGCTTTTCCTCCCATAGACTTCCATTCATGCGCACGCGAATGCGTCAGACTGGAAATACGTGGTCATGAGTCAAGTTTCGCAGGTTGCTGCGGTGCATAGTTCAAACTTGGTGAACTCTGACCTGCGACATCGCATCACTTGACTGCGTGACACCAACCGAGGATCAAAACATGACCTCTCTGGACAGAAATTTAAAACATGGAGCAATTGCTCGCTTTTTTTAATGTCTAATAATCTTGTTTAATCCCGCCCCTTTCGCAGCGCCGTATGACAGAATTTCGCACACACAAACTCTAGTGTGAGCGCAGCTTAAGAGCTTGATTAGCTACCCAGTTGTGTTTGATTGGGGTAGGAACTAAACTGCAGGACACCGGCCCTCCAGGATTAAGTTTGGACACCACTGATCTACACTAATGCGTTTCAGTTTTATAACAGCATTTTAGAACAAACATATCCATGTCCACACATGTGTTTTATCTAGAGCAGAGGTCACCAACCCTGTTCCTGGAGAGCTACCTTCCTGCAGAATTCAGCTCCAAACCTGATCAAACACACCTGAACCAATTAATAGGACCTGAAGCAGCACTTGATAATTACAGACTGGTGTGTTTGGTAAGGGGTTGCAACTGAAATCTGCAGGAAGGTAGCTCGCCAGTAGCAGGGTTTGTGACCCTCTAATCTAAAGTTTCCGAAAAAATCTCTGTCTACTAGTGTTGTCACGATAGTGGAATTTTGTACCAATCGGTACTGAAATTTTTAAAACGTCCATTTCCCACTAACATTTGAGTGCTGTTGAGTGCATTCTTAAACACCGTGATTGGCTATTGTGTTCACAGTCTACTTAAAATCTCAGAACCGATTGGTACCAAATTCCATTAATGTGACAACACTGCTGTCTTCACAAGGGGGTACCAATGGTACTCTCTTGGTGGGCATGGTGTACGACATAAAGTTTTAGTTAACATCATTCTCGCTTTGTCTTCGTTTAACAAGTTGATGAAAATTATCTTTATTTCTTTTTGTTAAATCTTGTACTTTATACTTTTATAATGTCCGCTGTAGTTTCTTAAATCTGATAATCAAAGACACGAGTCTGTGTATAATGACCTATTTCACTTTTATGGTGATTTATGTTGACATTTTCTGAAATCAAACATTAATTTATAATATTAATAACATAATATTATATATAAGGCTGTGCTTTATATAATGAAATCATTTGGAGTTTGGAGTGAAACCGATGAATGTGAGGTAAGTGACTTTATAAAGTACACTGCAGTTAAATTTGAAGAAGTACCTGACTTGTGTCCTTGAGAGTTCGTTCTTCCAAAGTCTGAACTTCCAAGGACCAAAGTTTGAACTTTGCATACTTGGTACTGAGAAACACCCTAACTGATTAGTTTTTACAAATGAAAGTGAATTGAACATAAAACAATTAAGTTGTCCCCCCAAAAGTGAAGAATTGTGTAGATTCAGCTTATTTTACATAAGTAGTTTGAACAAAAAGCAAATATAAAATTTTTGAGTGAACCCTGGCATTTTGGTGGGCCTGAAAATGCAAGTTTTTTATCAGACATGGTTCTTTAGAAAGTGTCATTGCCAGTGACTGTCCTAATACACTGTGCATGATCATAGACTGTAAAAGATATGGACGTAGTATCCGTTACATCACCCATAGGTTTCTGAAGAACGCAAAAGAAGCTACAAGTAGGCCAACCGTCGCCATTTTGTTCGCACATCATCGCACCAACCGGGGGATACCAAACAAGGGCAAAGAGGCTGAGCGTGAGCAGAGCTACAGACACCTGCTAGCACTTTGCTTATACATGCTTTTCTTTGGGAGAAACGCTTAATACTTCATTACCTGCGACTTGTTTGTGTTCTGACCACATGTGCTTGGTTGTACACTATATCAATAAAGTGTTTAGACTTTTAAAAACACTGCTGTAACACATTGAGCCACTAAACATTGTTTTTATGACGTTCTTTTTAACAGGAGTAAAGCGTGAATCACTTCCAAACACTACAGTCTGTGTTAGTAAATGCAAGGTTATTAATGAAATCCAGGCTTAACATTGTATGACAACGCTTTAGACGACTTTTCTAGAGTCTACAGCTAATCAATCTGTCAGATTCTGGAGAGCATTACGGGTCTGAAGAAAAATATAAATGATTAATTATTATGACCGGGAAATGGGGGCCATGTGAATGGTTTGTGAGCACAATTAAGTGCTCACAACATGCCATATCATCTGATAATTGTATGAAATAATTCCAAAAGGCAACTGACTGTGCAAAGCTACATAAAACTAAACAAAAATATGATGTATATGCCAAGTTCAGCGGCT